ATCTACCCAGCCCACACAGGCCCATGCCTTAGATAACTTTCTGTGGTGAATCTCCTAACCTGGTATTGAGACTCTGACCAAGAATTCTTTTTGGCTTTGATTTTTATTGAGTAGAATTTGAGCAAGACTATTTGAATAATGTATTAGCAAACTCAGTGTAAGAGGAGCATTGCTTTAAATTGGTAGTTTAAAGCAAAATATACCCCAGTTCCTGGGAAAGAGAGGTGGAGCAAAGAGCCACATCCCTTCAGCCACATGAACATCCTGATGAAACTGTGAACTGCTCACAAGATATGAAAGAAAAATAGAAGAACAGAATAGGATGTCACAAAAAGGCACCCACAGGTACCCCTCACTGGACCCTGTCCTTCGTGTGAATCAAACACGTTTTCCTCTCTGTTTTCAGAAGCCCAGCAACTGTACCTTTTTCATTTTGGTATGTTGAAGAACCTTGAGCATAAAAACCAGGGAAGAGACCCGGCGACATACGTGTAAGTTGCTAACACTCCAGGGTGACGGCGGCAAAAACAAAACCAGAAGAAACACTTTAGGGGGATACGATAATACGCAGTTGTGGGAAATGACAAGGCAAGGGGTATTGAGCCAATGTGAGGCCCCTGCCTGTGGTGGGCTGTGAAAACTGCACAGTAAAACTCCTTTCTCTAGACAAGACCAAACACTTCAACAAATCTGAAAAGCACAGACAATATGAGAGACATTAATTATTCGATTATGTTGTAGAAACCAACTGTAACAGCCGATTCTTTTCTCATCCCTTGGCCTCTGTAGTACTTAAAATTGGACAGGTATATCCTCCAAGTGGCCAATTTCATATCATAGCTAACAAAGATACCTTGAGACTCTTAAAGTTGTTAGATTTTTGTTTCCAACATAATGATAATTTTATGAATTTTTATGTCTTCATCCCTTGAGGGTAAATCAATGGAGCTGCCTTGTAAGACAGGAGTAGACCATGAATAAAGACCTTCTGTACCATGCCAGGATGTTTTTCTTCCTACATCAGTATGGTTTTGAGTACTAAAACTATTTCTTCCTAGTAATATCAGACCTTCCAGGGTTGTCATAACAACTAGTGTTATATATTTATGTACTTTTAGAAGAAGGGCAGTTGATTAGCTTTCCAAGATTGAAACAAAATACAAAAAGAGGTGAGAGAGCTGGCCCTGGCATTATGAGAGTGAGAGAACTAGCCCTGCCCCTTACCAGCTGCAATACACAGGAGAGCAGGCCCTGCACCACACCTGGGCAGTACACTAGAACTGACCCTGTTGTCAGGTGTGCAGGTGAGCCAGCCCTGAGGGCAGGAGAGCAGGAGAGCTGACCTCCCCACCTTGTAGGCCCCCTACAGCAATTGGGGGAGAGAACCCTGCACCTTGCATGGGCAAAACAGTAGAGCTGGTCCTGGTGGTGTGAATGTGGATGACCCGGATCTGAGGACCCGAGAGCAAGAGAACTGGCTCTGCTCCTTGCTGAAGGCTGCATTGAATGAGCTAGCCTGGGCAGTGACAATGAGCGAAAGCTAGTGGCCTGATTATCCCAGCTATCACCCAGGCCCAGAACCAGGGCTATGAATTGGCCACTCCAACATCCACCGAATGGAGGATGTTGGAGCAGGTAAAGGGGAGGAATCTACAGATTCAAAACAGCAGGATCTCCATGACACAGGACAACAACAGGATATCCAAGAGGAACCCAGTGAGAGCCCATTATCAGCGGTAGTGGTACAGCAGAAGCCAGAGACCTTGAGTGAGGCCGATGACTCTTGCAATGAACACTTGCAAACAAAGATAAATGAACTAGAAGGTAAACTGTGTGTCTCAAATGGCCACACTATAGCGTCCATCAAGATTATTCTTTTTCTCTCTGTCTCTCTGTCTTTCTGTCTCTGTCTCTTTCTCTGTTTGTTTGGTTTGCTTTTTCTTTTAAATTTGGTTTTGTGTTGGGGGGGTTGCAAAGGCAGAGGGTGTGTTCGAGGGGACACAGAGATAAGTGAGATCAGAATGCATGATGTGAAATCCACAAAGAATCAATAATAAAAAAGAGATTGCTTCAAGTTACCACAATGTTTCTTTCAGTTAGATCATCACAAAGAAACATCTTTTATATCATTTCATGTCAATCTAGAGCTTTACTAAGAAGTTTAAAAATATTTCAGATATGAAAAGGTCTATGATCACCTTCACTAAGAGGAGATGTTGATGGAATTTACTCATGTTCTGATAAAATTTTAAAGAGTGCTCTCCTGAAAGATTAACTCATGTTTATTGAAGGTCCTTTGCAAGCCTCCTAGAATTGAGTCACTACTCTGAGATTATAGATTTATTAAAAGCATAGACAATTTTCAGTCAGCCTAAGGAGGAAGAAAGAGAAACCATCAACATTTTTAATTATAGAAGACCGACCAAGGCCTGAAAACTAAGAAAGGAAAAGGCATGAACGGATATGCTAATTATATAGGAAGGATTTTCTCCTAAGATGCATACTGTTATACACAAGTGGATGCACTGATTTTGAAATGAACAGAATGGTATTTCAGTCTTGAACTCAAATGTAACTATACTCAATAGTCTTCACTGGCAAGATGATGGTTAAGAAGTGGACTATCAAACAATACTGAATCCTGAGACAGTATTGGACCTATGAAGGTAAATATGTTTAAAGATATTTTAAAATCTCATTTTTTAAATATTTTAAAATGTAAAGAGTAATAGTCTTTGGTGACATAATCTGTAGTCACTGTTTACAAATAATATCCATAGTGGATTCTACTAAGAATTATCAAGTATTCAGTTTGTGCATATAGTTTCATCATAAAGAAAAAATGGCACTTAAGGCCCACAGTCATGTGTACAATCTCCTTGGATAGGAAATGAGACATGACAAACAGTTTTGAGCAATAAATAACCATTATTTGTACCCTATAGCTCTTATGCAACAGTTAAAAGAAATAGTTCTTCATAAGCAATATTCCATACTTATACTCATAACCTTTATAACTGCAAATACAGAGATACTGTATCATCCCATAAGCTCAAGCCTCATGTCTCCACGCAACTTCCATGCCTTAAGTAGGCACCATGAGGTGAAATACACACACATGTACATAGGCACACCCTTGTGAGATTCAGTTTATGTTCAAGAAAAATGACACCATCACTCATTCCCCTTGGCATGGAATATTTCGACTTGGAAACAGTTAGGATTATACTTTGCATCCAACATTCAGCTTGTTCTTACTAATTCAGATGCATAATGCCTATCTAAATTTGTCATACATGAGTATAAAACAGTTAGTGAAAATGAGCACCATTTTATAGAGCCTGGATATGACCACTGATCTTTATGAAGCAAAGCAATCATCTCATAAAAATAATTAGCTGTAAAATCCATTTAAACAAACTAATCCTTTGAAATATTTCTTCCAATATTCTAATTCAATATTTCATATGATTAAGTATAGTGTGATTACCGTATGTTAACCTTTGGAAATTTGTATTTCCAATTAGATTCAATGAGCAGTATTATACAAGGCTGAAATGTTCAAAAATTTTAAAACAGCAAGAACTATTCACAATTTTAAGAAAACATATATTAGCAAAAATGTGCTCTTCTGGCCCTTTGTTTATGTTAAAAATATGTTCCTTACAAAAACAACACATAATAGTAAAATCTGTTTTGCTTAATGGCGCTCTAGCTGCTCTTTTCCCATCGTTCCTCTTTATTAGGGAGTTAACATTAACACATCTCTTAAGTTTCTATGACTCTCTATTTTTTGAGTCATGGAATTAAGTGTTAGCTTGAAAGAAAAGCATGACAATACTTATCAATTGAAGGATCTCCTCTCTAAGATCAAGAATGAGGTGCTAAGAAGGACCCATTCTGAATGAGCCCCCATGCAAATGCTGTTGCCTTGGTACTTTGGGAGGAAGGTCACTCACTGTAATCCATGGTCAGTTGAATCTGGGATTTGAGGTTGCCATACATTCATGAGCACCTTACATCCAGTGCCTTCATGGCATATTGCAAATCAGAGATTGTACTTGGGGGAAAATACACAAACTACTCAGTGGCATCCAAATAATATTAACTAGTATTAATAAATTGTCAATTTGCTGAGTTTGATCTTTAAACAAAACCTACTCATCATAATTTCTCATTGAAATCATCTATGGGATAACGTAGCTAACTTGAATCATACACACCTGCCTAAAGACACACTGGACTTCCACTATTGGCTTTGAATTCAGCTCTATTTGTTATACCATCCTTATATCTTTACACAGGAAGATGCTTTCTTGAAAAATACAAATTTCCCTCTAACTGCTGCAGCTGCTCCTGCTGAACACCCAACATTTCCAGAGAAATCACATCTACACATACGTGTAAAATCAGGAAAACAAGCTGCTTTATTGCCCGATTTAAAATAAGCTCAATCAGAGAAAAGAACAACTGCTATAATAGACAACTTGATGAGCAGCTGAAGACGAAAATATACTCAGATGCAGTCATAGAATCCAGGATGTATTTTATTCAGGGAGGTTTGCCTGAGACAAAGGACACTTCTTGCCTCACTTTTTCTGAATCACAGAATCAACACATGGGATTCATATGGCTCATGTAATCTAAAATAGGTTTGAAAATGTCCTAGAATATCATCCCCAGGCTCTAATGGTAGGAAAAAAGGAAAGGCCTTTCTCCTTGAAAATTTTAACTAAAAAAAATTGTACCATTAAAAAAAGTTCTACCATAAGAATTTGAATGAGAACAATAATTACCCCATGCCAGAAATAAACTGTATTGTCAACCATTAGCTTGTCATCAGTAAACACATGCCAACTCTATTGCAGAGCAAAAATGGAATATAGACTAACAGATGACACAGATTCAACCAATCAGCATTGAATCAGGACTGCACAGACAGAGAGAAAAGCGACACTGGAGATGTGAAAAGAAAAAAAAAAAAGGGAAATTAGACTTACTCTTGACGGTCGCTGTCCGGGTACAGTTGTAAAGAATAGCCAGCTCCCCAAACACTTTTCCTGGACCCATGGTGCACAGCTTCACACCTTCTTTTGTAACTTCCACCTTCCCATCTGAAAGAAGAAGGGAAGACATGTGTTATCTTAATTCTCTCCCTTGCTATTTCATTTATTGCATCTTCATTATGACATGAAAAACATTGAGGTTGTTTAAAAAATGCATCAGTGAACCAATTTAAACCAAGGTTTCCCCCAAAGGACAATATAAGAAATGCGATAAAAAAATGTGTGTTAAGAATCTCATCTCTTAAGTTCTTCACTGACAGATTGGAAGTGAGACTCAATGTAAAGGCTAGGAAAAGATGGGGACAAAAACATGAGCATATGAAACTATTCCATATGTAATTTTAGCAAACCAGGGTAATTCCAATTTTAACATTATTTTTACATCCAAAAGGAAATTCGAGTAAGAAGGCACATTTTCTACAGCATGCTTCAGACTTGGAAATTCTCATTTTGAGCAAGTCAGTTATTATAAAGAGAGAAATTACTCTGACCCTTGGGCATTATTTAATTGAAACTTTTGGTATCTTTTTATTTGGAAACATCTTATCAACTAAGGCAAACCGTTTCTATGCTCCCCAGCCTGTGAAGTTGACTATCAGTGAGGAAAAAAAAAAAAAAAAGCTACCATAAAGCATGAGGACTGTTTATGCTCCACACTGGGCTGGGAGAATAAAATGCTAAAGAAGGAAAAAGCTAAGGAAACAGTATACTCTGGGTACAGATTGCTGCTCACAAATAAGGAAGGCAAGTGCTATTCATGGGGGAAATACTAATTTTAAAAAGTCATAGCTGTGTAGCCTAAAATTTCCATCGCCCAACACAACCAGGGGAGAAATAAAAAGCAGCACACTCTATTTTAGATAATCTTCCACTTTTCAATTTTTCCAGTTTCTTATCCACCATCTCTGTATGGTAGAAAAGAAAAACTCTCGCTTTGTAAAATAACTAAGCCATGACTGATAGTTCTCCCTATTGTCCTAACTTCAGGCCCATCTACCAGCATCAGAGCTGTCTCTTTATGTGCCTGTTTCCTTTAATAGCTGTTTCTTTTTTTGTGTTGAGAATAAATTCATTCCTGTTTTTTAAATCAATCGAGTTTAGTCTAAATATTGGCTTAAAGTCTGATTTGCTTTCATACACTTGTTGAGATATAAGTCTTAAGCATTAAAGATGTTTCATCTACGCATCTGTAAGGCACCATCTAGTCTGTAGAGTATATTACCTCCAAGCCTCCGTATCTAAACAGTATCTGTGGACAGGGGATTCGAGAATAATTAGGACAAAATACAGAATCTACTCACCATACTGGAACTGCGTTACTCTGTATAAGAAAGCTGTGAATGAGAAAATCTAATGATTCCAAACGTTTGGAACTGCCTGTGCTCACAACGTGGATCAAACACTATAGCTTTCTCAGGCTTTCTTACAGACCATAGCGAGGGGTTACTCTCTGTCAATCTATGTCAAAAACCAGCCTAGGGAATTTATCTGTTCATAAATATACTATATCCTCATTTTCTTTTAGTGATAAATCTGCTCCCCTAGAAATTTCATGTGACACTCAAGAGTGAGACAAAGTAGATTGTGTCATGGTAGTCAAGAAATTAATACACTGTCTGAAGTCAGACTAGAAACTGAGTTTTCTTACCTGTTAGTTACCAGCACTGTGTTGTTTGGTAAAGTTGCTTAACTTTTCAGTAGTCTACTTTCTTCCTTAGTAAAATCAATATAGCCAGAGTATTTATCTCATTAGATGATTTTTAAATTTAAATGAGATAAGGCAAGTAAAATACTTAACCCTGCAATAAATGTCTAATACAGTCTGCTCTTATTGCTGATGTAATACTCTTTCTTATGTTTGTTTATCATTTAAATGGAAATAAGAATTATTTACAATCTATTTCAGTATTGTAATCAGCTAGTTCAGAAACTGGAGCCTATGTAGGAAAACAGGTTTTCTGTTTTAATCAAGAGTTTGTTTTCAGATTCCTTCAACGAGGTGTAATGGTGGTAAGAAGAAAACATTTGAGCTCAAATCATTATCAGACCCAAAGAAGAAAAGAGAAACCCGAGAAAACCAGTGATTCACCTGGGAGAATAGAGAATGTCAAGCCCTTGGACTTTTCTACACTCACTATTGTTCAGACAACATTTTATAGCTATGTTGCTTTAGAGACTATAGACTGAAAGTTTGGGGCTCTCAAAGTTTCGAAGTAATAATTTCCCAATGCATTGTAAAACTGTCAATCTACAGCTCACAGTGTTAATTATAAATATAATTAAAACACAACATCCAATGCTTAGAGGAAAAATGAGTGACTATGTGAGTCTGCTTAGCTGTCTTTGGGGTTGGCATTTAAAAGTTTTAATGTAAAGGGACATCTAAGAAGAACCCATCCGAACACTGAGAGCTAGACTGTTTCTAGCAATACCTGCCCAATAAAAGACAGTCATCAACGTTAGGACTATTGTTTCAAACAGGAGGTTTCTTCAAGTAAATCCTTTGACCTTGGGCATCAGACCTAACTTATAAATCTAGATGATTCCTCATATAGGATGTTGAAAGTATCTAACTACTACCATGAGCATCACACTTGGTCATCCTTCCTTTCTAGACAAACCATATTCATATATCTATATAAATGTATGAACAACTACTCTTACAAGTGATTATACCTTGCATTTTTATGACCTCCAGAAAGCTCCTCCCCTGAACACTGTGAGGCTCTAGGGTTTGAAATTTATGCACAAATCCACTTCTAGTTCCAAATTATTTTCCTAATCCTGTTTTAGACAGTCTCATTGTGTAGACCAGACTTGCTTTGAACTCACAGAGATCTGCCTACTTCTGCCTCCTGAGTACAAAGATTAAAGGTGTGCACCACCATACCCTGCCTTATTTTCCTAATCTTGTTTGCCTAATTTTCTTACATCTAACTGAACTTTTGTTGAAAAAATAGGTATAAATTATACATGTAATAATTATTCATTTATATATTAATAACTGGTGCTGGCAATAGACATTCATTTTCCTTATTAATTAGAATAGTTAAAATAAACTATTCAGTATTATATTTGATAAATAATAGTTTGGATATATCTTTTCCAGGTTAATTTAAATAGTCGGCAGTTCGTATGGCCACAATTATCAAGGAAGTATAAGAGATTTGATGTCATATGATATATGACACTTAGTAAAATTCATTTGTTTTTACTTGTTTCTTTAGTATTGCCGTTTGTATTTGTGACAAGGTCTCATAAAGTTCTAGATAACCTTGAACTTCTGTGTAGCAGAGGATGATCTTGAACTTTAGATCTTTCTTCTTCCATCTTCACAGTGCTGGAATTACAGGTGTGGATCATCATGTCCCACCCAGTTTAAAGCACTCCTTTTCTGGTTGTTAGTGTTATAGTTTAATGAACTGACACAATTAAACCAGAAATGGAAAATGCTTATAACCTATTACCCTGAATCATATTTGGGTCACTTATTTTCCTTCATACCTGTTGTGAGAATGAGAATAAGTAACAGAGAAGAGGGACAGATGAGGGACTTAGATGACAGAGACATATATGGCGTGAAGGAGAGGAATCTTAGTTTCCAATAACTCAGGAAAAACGAGTTACTGGTGAGGAACTGGTTCAATTTACTTATTAGGTTTCATATCAGCCTTAAGCAAAACCAGAAGCAACTGTGAATTTATAAATGATTTTCAAGAATGGACTGTATATTTACTTATAAACACTAAGTGTCTTTCAGTGTCTACCAGTTATCAACTTGAGATATTTTCCTATCTGAACACATTCTTCCTTTGCAGATCTGAACCCCTACTTGCCAAACAAAACAAAACAAAACAAAGTGTATATGCCCAGGAGTTCCTACTCCCATAAAATCAGCTTGTTCTAAAGTAATAAGGAGTCATGAGACCACCTCCTAGACCAGTGAGTGTTTCTCAACCTTCCTGATGCTGTGACCCTTTATAATACAGTTCTTCAGCCGGGCGGTGGTGGCGCACGCCTTTAATCCCAGCACTCGGGAGGCAGAGCCAGGCGGATCTCTGTGAGTTCGAGGCCAGCCTAGTCTCCAAAGCGAGTTCCAGGAAAGGCGCAAAGCTACACAGAGAAACCCTGTCTCGAAAAACCAAAAAAAAAAAAATACAGTTCTTCATATTGTGGTGACCCCCCAAACACAAATATTATTTATTGCTATTTCATAACTGTAATTTTGCAATTATTATGAATCATAATGTAAGTATGTAATATGCAGATGGTCTTAAGAGACCCCTATGAAAGAACCATTTGATTCCCAAAGGGATCTCAACCCGTAGCTTGAGAACTGCTGACCTCGACCTACTCATGCATGGATTATTTCTTTTTCTATTCTACCCAGTGGCCTCCTCTGAGAGCCGGTTAAGCTGACAGTAGAGAAACTTTTGAGTGGTGATTCTGGTGTGGAGGTAAGAGTAAGGTGCTTTTACCAAATGTAGAATGGTCTGCCCTGGAAGCTCTATATTGTTGTGATTTTTAAACATAGAATGGTCTGCTCTGGAAGTTATATATTATTATGATTTTTAAAAGAAATTTGGTGATTCATCTTGGTGAATTTCCATCAGGTCCACTGTAATGAATATATTTCTATTTCTTTTAAAACAAAGATGAAATTAATCATTATTTATTCATAACTATTTTAATACTTCAATTAGACTCTCAAATATTTTAGATTTCAAACTAGACTTTTTAGAGGAACAGAAAAGTAATTTTCAGGCTATCTTAGTAAAATTATAGACTATTCAAAGTGTTCCTTCACTTTGACCAATCCCAGAAGTTCCTACAGACTATCAGAATTTATTTGGGAACCAATAAACCCAAAATCTAGTTCCTCTTAGCACTCTATATTGCTCCTCTTACTTTATTTTATTTTTGTTTTATAATGTGATACTTTATTGGTGTTATTTTCACTCTGTCCTCTGGTCGTCAGATGATATGCAAAGAAATGTACAAGTCATTTGGAGTTTTCTAAATTGCTAATGTGGTTTGCCCAAAAGAAG